TGTTTTATCGTGATATCGAACTGTTTTATTTCAATCATCCTTCTCCTTTTATAGATACACTTTCTTTCTCCGGGGCGCGTCACTCAACCGGAGAGAACGAGAAGGAACACGACAAAGAGGAAGATAGAATATACATGACAAAGAGGAAGAGAGAATACACATGACAATGAGGAGAAAGTCGTTATGTACATTGCCTAGGATAGGCCGAGTGCTTATATCGGCACAAGCTGTTCATTCTTTCAATTTTATATGAGAAAAAATTTCGAATTTGCCTCAAGATATTAAATTTGTTGACTGATAGTCTCTTACAACGCTCGGACAGTCCTTCGGGCTGCCTTGCTGTCTGTTTTATTCTTCTCTTGTTTGATTGAAGAATCATCTAGGGTGTGGGTGTGGGTGTCAGTTTCTGTACACTAACCCACACCATCATATACTCTCCGATGATTTTAGTCTTTTTACTACAATAATTCAACAAGGTAACGAATACTTCAGCACATTGATGCTAGCCGCTCTCCATAGACACGATGGGTTAGTGCGTTTGATACTTACTTGTTCTCATACTGTAATTGAACTTGAAGGATCTCTGTACAATTCTGAGCGAGAACTTGTAGAACGTGTAACTGCATTATGGTGTGCTCTTGACCGTAGTCACTTTACAGTGGCATGTACTCTGATTGATTTGGGTAGAGCTGATGTCAATCATGGTCCATATTGTCCATTTTTAATTGATGCTTGTAGGAAAGGACGACTCGACATTGTTCATTTCTTAATCGAGAACGGTTATGCTGATGTTAATCAAACCGCAACAAACGATGCGAACAAAGCGAGTAGTCTTATTCTTTCTGCCCAATATGACCACACAAATATTGCCGCTTATCTCCTAGATAAAGATGCTGGTATTGAATATAGGACATACGTTGAGCAAGATACCGCACTGACCGTAGCTGCTAGAGAAGGCCATTTGGCAATAATAAAACTATTGTGCTCGGCAGGTGCATCTATCACTGTCAAAAATCATAATAGAAAGACACCGATGATGTTGGTAGCCGCGAGAGAAGCATTTGAAGCGATCGACTTCTTACTGGAATACATGCACGATGAGACAACTTTTGATGATCTTGAACTTATTGCTTCCTCATATCTAGCTCACAACAATACTATCACACTTGATGATCGCCAGCGAATGGTACGTCTCTTGAGAAAATCACTCGAACAACGTCTTCTGTTTCATGTACCGAAAACTGTGGCTCAGTCGGTTGCTGTCTATGATTTTCAAATAGAATGTCAGGCAATTGCTGAACGTGACCATATTCAACATAATAATGATCGTTTATGTCTCGAAGCACTACTTATTTGTGAACGGATCCTCCTCTTCCGAAAGGAAGAGCTATTATTCGAACCATTATTTAAGCGAAGAGTCATGATGCTTGTTCAAAACAATCAGTTCGACCGTTGCTTTCATCTGAATCTGAATCTTTTTCATTTGTATAAACAAATGAAGCTGCCGACTTCTCTCCATCGTTTCCTATGGGTGTTCTGTAGGATGATCGCTGCTCAAGTACCAATTCTTGCCGTCCAATTCTCGCAGATATATCATCTTACTGTCAAACCTTCACAGAAGAAACTAGTTCATAGCTCCATCAAAACTGCCTTATATATGGTAGCAATTGCAGCGAAGGTATGATAGTCGCTCAGCAACAGCAATAAACAACTAAGGAATAAAGAATGTAGATGTATTACGCATAAGGGGCAAGGTCTTAGCTTAAAAAATACAAGATTAAAATTTGAAAAGCACTGGGGTTACTTATTATAGTGGAGGTCAAAAAAAGAATATCATACAACTTGTAAAACTTAGTATCATTTAATAAACTCCTTAGACGTGTTCGTGAAAGCCGGTCAGACGAATCAATAGAGCGGCTGATCACTTTTCTTAGCTTACATTTCTTCACTCACGAATATATTATGTCTCACAGGCGTATCTCGTTTTATATTAAAGTGATCGTCTGAGACTCTTTTATTGATTGGTTCTTGAAAATTTTCTTTCTAACTGCGATTATTTGGAAGGAAAGAATTATTATAGAAAACATTTATAATCGAAGTAGAGAAATGAGCATCAATGATAAAAATATGCCACATACTCGATGAAAGCTTTGAAAATGGTCTTTAAAAAATATTTTGAAGTTCCCTAACAAAATGAAGACGCTGGAATGTGAAGTAAAAAGAATAAATTGTCTTTAGTGATCTATTCCATAGATCCTCCGAAGCAAAATTATGTTTAATCCAGGAGAAAAATAACTGAGAAAATGCTTCAAATCAAATGACAGGTTGCTATTCTAGTATGAGTATGTGAATGCGAATTCTGATATTGCAATCTTTTCGTGAAACGCAACTGAAAATGTGTGTTGAAATGTATACACTGAGTAAAACGGGAGCCTCTGCTTGTACTTACTGACCAAACAATTGAAATAGACACAGTAAGGCGTCTCCCCCAATGATGAACAGAGGCTTTGCTGAACGCTTCTCGATAATATTTTCTCCACTGTTCAATCTCTAATGAATTAAAGTGTATGCGTTACTGGTTCATTTTTTATAGTTTGAGTTTTGTCTTGATCTAATCCATATGCTCGCTCGATCTAAAAACGGCTATTTTGAAATTTCGAATTCATTTCAGCTTTGATATTGATTATAAAGACTATTACGGTTACTTATGTACCTAGCTAAAACGAAAATGCATTTTCATAGTTGATCTGAACACGAAAAATAGAATTTATTATTATGCAGACTTTTAAACGAAATATAAACATTCATTTGACTTTCCTTTCTTTGCTTCTTTGATGAGTATTTTAGCCGTTTAGGCGAATTTCGAGATAAATTCAGATAGCTCATCTATCCAATCAAGAGAAATTCAACACTACAATATTTTATTGCTCTTGTTGAATACTGTTTCAGGATCTCGAACAATCAACAATCAGTGATGAAGATCGTCGATCCATCGTTCTATGGATCAAAAAGCTATGTCAAAAAGCAGCTCACAACGACACAAGGGCGAAATTTATTACACCTGAGTGTTAATCTTGAAAAAACTTACGACATTAGTTACCGACTAACGAACATTATGCCAGTACTTTCGTAAGTGATCATAGTTCATTAGATTAATCGTTCCATGGATACACGATTTTATTTTAAGCATATTGTTTTTCTCTTTGATAGATTTCCCAATGTTGGTGGTATCTAGCTACTTCTCGCATATGGACAGCAATGGATCAATGTGAACGGAACGGATCAAATTTATAGTGAAACTGCTCTACATATATTTTTCCATAGCTTGAACCACGATGTCAAAGAAAATGTTACAAAAGTAATATAAATTCTTCTCAATGTAGGTGCTCACATAGATCATGTTAATTACCGTGGACTAACACCTATCGATGTAGCAACTGACACTGGCATACGCACTCTCTTACAATTATAACAGAAACCTCCACAGCTCAAGTATCTTTGTGCACGTCTCATTAATATTCATAAAATCAGCTACGCTCATGTGTGGTCTAAGTCAGCCGCATTGACTACTTTTGTAGAAATCCATAACACTCTCTCGTCAGAAGATGACGTGGGCTTTGGCTTATTCGATTAAGGATGGCAGCGTAGTCTGAGTTTGATTCATAGTAATCGCCAATAAACATGAATCAGCTATTTTACCTATTAACAAGATCGTAGGATGGTGTTTTTTTCTAAAAGTATTCCAAGAACAGCAACAACCCAATTAAAAATATCACATTACCATTCAAATATTGATAGTATCAATAGAATCAATGATTGATTTGTACTTTAAAAAGGCATTACCTAATATCGAAATATATACTTTATAAGTTCTTCATTTTTGGTGCTTATTTTGTTTTGTTTCATCAAGATATTCTGTAGCGATAAAAATTAATATGATTGATGATTTGGTTGCAAAGAAGGCGCTTAAACCTGTTATAGTTGATTTCTGAAAATGTTTATGGATTTTTTCGAATGCATTTCAAGGAAAAATTTCATCAAGAGATAAATTCAACATCGTCTAGAATTGCTTGACACTTTTTAATGACAACGAAATATTCCTTATTAAGGTAGGGATTCGACTACACACCCACACCCACATCTTCTTCTATCCACAAATATTCACACTCATACCATAATTGACTATCACGCCTATATCGAATGATATTTGCATAAAAGAAGAAAGAGAACGTGAAAATCATTTTCAACCATAATCTTGCTCATACTCACATCTACTTTAAGGGAAGCATACCTCATATAATTGTAGATAGCAGTGAATATTGCTATAAGCCTTCACACCTACACTATTTTTTTTCCTTTTATTAATACTAATATCAAAATAATTGTTAGACGCAAGAAGCTTCAAATGCAGGACATATTCTGATATGTATTTTCAGTTAATTCGAGACATCTGATTTTTCTAAATGATATCGACGCTAAATGCATTGCTCTGATAAATTTTCGACATCATCTTATTCGCCCACTAAACTACAATTTCCATTCTCATACATACTGATACTCAATGAAAGAAAGATATCTATAAAATAATCAAATGAATCTATTAAGTACTTTGCAAGCATCTCAAGGATCAATATCATATTGTTTTCATCAATTAGTGTTTCTCTATAAAGATAATTGATGAAAGCAATTAATAGCTTGAATAAAGATAGAACTAGTATCAAATTTCTATGTTTATTAGGATTAGGCGAAGTGCTGCTTCGCCTACGGCGAATTTTCAAGCCGCCACTAATCCTCGAAACATGAATAAAAGCACCATTGTGATTTGATTTTGCTTTAACTTAAGCAACAATGGTTTCAATTGTTTTTCATTGCTTGACTTTCTTTTTTCTTAGGTGAGTGTGAAATCTATCACTTTTCTATTTATTAAATATTTTGTTGTTGATTTAGTTCGTTAGTAGTAGAAGTAAACTCTCAAATATGCCAGGAAGTATCTCAATATGGTCGCTGCTCGTCAAATAGTGCATGTGGCTGTCTTCATATGGAAGGTGCTTCGAATATTGGTATTTGTGGCTTTCAGTGGGTTACATGCTCTGATTTAGTTCCATGCGAAGAAACAAATAATTATTGTGGACAATCTGACCATATCTGTGTTCATCATCCTCGATGTCATGAACGTCCTCTTTGTTTTCCAGTATCAATGATGGATGCAAAACTTTGTCCACCAATGAACGGTAAGCAAACAAGTACTAATTCATCTAAAGTGTCATATACATCATAAATCTGTTTTTAAAACATATTTCTTCATCATTTTACATCAGTTTATATTTATGATTCACATACGGCTAGAGCAAGTGCATGAAGCAGATTAGTGAAAGAGAACTTTGAATGTGTATGCAACGATATAAAAACCCAAGAGACCATTTGAATCAAAGTCAATGAATAATCAATTACTCTTTTCTAGTGAATTAGGCAGAATCTACCATTTTTTATACAGATAAATTACATTGAAAGAAAAAAGGTACCGTATCGAACTTAATACGGTTTCGAATTTTGAAACGAATTCTAAACTTTTTAAGTTTCATACGAAACTGGTTCGGTATGAAACGTTTTTCGAAAATCATAAAAATGGCTTCGCACATACAGCTCTGCAGCATCAATATCATGCAGCCCAGTTCCTCAAGTTATGACACTATGGTTCCATGAGTTTCATCTCGAACATTTTCATAGTATCACATATTCGCTCTAATCCCCAACCGTTCTGATCAGCTTCAGGTATTAAGATCTTAGGAAATCAGATGAGAGGCTCAAAATGTGGTCAACGTACATCAAAGGCAAAAAACACTTCATAAGCTTGACACATTACCAAAAATCACAAATATTTCGCTCGACCAATTGCACTTCCCAAAAATTTAAAAACAGGTCATGACGAAATTATTGACCTGAATAATCCATACCAAAACAAAATTGCATGAACATATCTCCATTGAAATAAACATTTCGTTTGAATAATAGTACATAAAAAAGAAAAACATTTTTTGCCGATGAAGTTCTCACATCATTCAATTGGAAAATCTCATAGAAGCATATATTCCTCTGGCGGCAATAAGGGGCACACCTAGTTTTTCACAATTATCTATCTAAAAGATAGAATTTATATCTCATATTTCCACTGTAAATACTATGTGGTTGTGTCCAATTATACATCATATCATCGGTCTTAAAGTACATTAGTTTGATAAGAAACAAGACGAAATCTGTTGTTTGATTTTGTGCCTTTGTAAAGACGCAACTTTCCATATCATATTTTTCACTTCTCCTCTGCTAGTTAGCAGCGTTGTTGTTTACTTTAAGCAAACGGAGACATGTATTTCATTGAATATATTCTTATACAATAACAATAAGGATGCTGTTCATTAACATGAACTGAACTATTAGAAAAGTTCCTTTGAGTGTACTGAACTTTTTCGGGCAGCTCTTTTTGGAAAGAACTGAACTTATCAAACAGCTCTTTTGAAAGGAGTTCATGAATCTGAGCTAGCTGATTTCTAGTGATAACCAAACAGCAATACTATTAATTAACAGAGAGAAAAGTCAAAAGATTGATACGTAAGGTAGCGTCTTTACAAAGGCACAAAATTGAATAACCGATTTTGCCTTGTTTCTTAATGGCGTATAGTTAGGCACTGACACACAGTATTTATCGTATAGATATCAGATATAAATCATATCTTTTAGATAGATAATTATGAAAAACTAGGTATGCCCCTCATTTACCCCAGGAGGATAAAGTAAGGGTAGCTTGAGTTCAATACTTCTATCTGAAAATGTACAACAGAGAAAAAGAATTTATAATGCTAAACGTAGAATTGCCTGAAATATTGATAAGCTGTACCACTTGAACGAAAATAATGATTTTCAATATGGAGCGTTATCTGAACTAAATATTTTCATATGGCAACCTACAAAAAAGAAACAATAGTTACAACGTTAAATGTAGAATAACCTGAAGTTTTTCTTGGTAAAATTGCTTGAACGAAACGAAACATTTTCAAACGTAAATGTAACTCGAAGTAAATATTTCTATCTAATAATCTATAACAGAGAGAGACAGCTGGAGCGTTAGGTGTAGAAATATTTGCGATACTTTTAGTGCTGCATCTTGAACGAAAACACATTTTCAATGTTAAGATTACCTACAAGTGGATACTTCTATTTAATAATCTACAAGAAAGAAAAGATACTTATAATATTAAGTGCAGAGCCGCCCCTAATATTGTTGAGTTAGGCAACTTGAACGAAAAGGTAGAGTTTTGGTGTTAAATTTAAGTTAGAATATTTTCGTCGAATAATCTACAACAAGAAAAAGATATTTTTATGTTAAATTAAAAATTATCTGGAAAGTTGTTGAGTTGAATGATTCGAAACAAAAAAGTTTCTCAGCGTAAAATTTAGCCTGAAATACAAACTCCAATAATAAACAGCAGAAAAAGAAACAAGTATATCTTTAGTAGGTAAAATAAAATTAGTTTTTCAGATGAATAATTTGAAAGAAAATATAAACACTGAATGTAACTTGAAGTAAATGCCTCAATAGTGTAATCTATGAGGCGAAAATTAAAATTGTCATCCTAAAGACAGATTTACCTTGTAAATGGTTCCGTTGAACAATGTGTAAGAAACCAATGGCATATATTCTAAATATACATTTATGTAAATACTTCAAGTGAACAGTCTGTAATACATGAATGAAAGTGATAGTTTTAAGGATAATGCCATATCAGAGAGGACTCCGATGTAGGATCTAAATGAAAAAAGTTTCAGTTATGGGAAGCTTTAAGAAGATACGACACGAAACCTTAGACAGTTTTATACGAAACTTTGTCCAGTGTTAACTTTCAAAAAAAGTATGATACAAAACCTGTTCTTTTTTTAAAACCGCATAAAAGGATCGCACCGAACTTTTTCCATTGCTAAACCTACAAAAGGTTTCGTGAATCTGTATCATACCTTTAGAGATATAGTAAAGTACCACCAAAATTATGAAGGTTTCGCAAGGCACCTTTCTTTTTTCCAGTGTGCTTTCAATGCTTTTCACAAATGAAAAAGTTATTGAATAGATCTTACATACCTCTGGAAAAAGTGTGAGACTTAGATAAAGCCAATGGACGCTGATATGGAAATGGAATGCTCATCTTCAGGAAAATGATTTGGTGGTTGATATTTCTCAAAAACTTCGCATTTTCATGCAGTCTAGTAGTACTCAAGTTCTTAAAACCCCATAATAAGTCACATGAAACTTTATTGAGAAACTTTAAGTTTCACCTAAAAATATACAACCGTTTGAAATTCGAAATGTTATAACTCACGAAAAATGACTTATTTTTAGGTGAAAATTGAAAATTTTCGATAAAATTTGATGTATCTTGCACAATAGTCGAACCAATCATGACATGATACATTTTTTCGTAAATTCTAATTACAAAATCCTTTTTCAAAACATCATCATTTCGATTTGATATCACCTTTTGTGAGGTTCATGTGGACACCATACTCAGAAAGTGAATTTCAAGATAAAGAAAAACTCTGATATCAATACTAATGTTCTCACCTGTTTAGTAAGTGTAACATAATAAATATCTGAATAAATGAATGGTGTTGTTATGTTATGGCTGCAGCACTTCTTTTATTCATTTAATTTAATTGTGATCACAATGGACAAACTAGAAGAATAGTGCTATCGATGTATTTAGTACATCATCGATGTTATCTTCACTATTTTATCCTCTAGTCTGTCCCTGGAGACATTTCCAAGACTGTTTCACAAAGGAAATGCTCTCTGTTCTTACTTTTTTCATCTCCTTATATAGTGATCAATTAGATCACACGATTATACGAGAGAAAGAAAGAGAACAGAGGAAAAGATATATATATACATATATATATATATAAAGAGAGAAAGAGAGCAGTTACACCAAAAGAAATAGAACAGATTTTGTTGAACAGAACAAGAACAAGAATTAGTCAATCACACTAATTACATCATATTAGCGCAATGTAAACTGATGACATTCAAATGAATAAAACCGTCCCTGATTAACATATAAACATACACATACATATATGTATATCTATGACAGTGTCTATTGGCACAGTAAGTAACACTAATAGCTCTACTTTTCAACATACTTTATTGTAGTTCGACCAGACAAGAGAGTAATTTTTATCAGATCTGCCTTTCTCACAATACTAAGTAATAGTTTGTTTATTGAGAAAGTTTACCGTTTGAGTTTGCAAACTTCCGATTACTATTCATTACTTATTTTGAGAATGTGCGCGTGAATGAGAGAGAAAAGACTGTTATACCCTTATATCATACATCATCAGAGTTGCTGTTCTTAGAGCGTATTTTTCGAAGTAAAAAATGATTCAATTCTAACGATACTTAGTATTAGCTCACCATTGTTTCAGTACGTAAACTTGTCTTGTTTTACTGTAATTGCTGCAAATTATATTTTAATACGATTACTTTTAGAAAAATTTCGACTTATTGAAGGTATTTCGTGTCATTAAAAGAACAGCCTTCCAATTATACCGTTCCATTAGAAGTTGGAAATGCCTCGGGAATATAATTTCATTTTGAATTTTTATGAGAATTTCAATCACTAACTTATCATTGAAATCGATTAAGGCTCTAAAACAAGAACGTACGTTTTAGCTGCTTTGAAAATATTCCTAAATGATAATTGCGGCAATCTTAGCGTGGTTCAGCTTATGTGGCAATTGTGAACATACATAATTGTCTACACCTACCTATACTCTTATGAGTGATATACTAAGCAAAAATAGTACTATGAAAAAACAACTATTGAAGAGTAGAGCAGAACTATAAATTATACAAAGTAATATAGGACATAGCAATAAGTAATAATAAGTATTATGCTACTGCACAAAGTAGGCAAAGTTCTTAAAATTCAATCTTTTTAAATGATTACATTTATACTTATAAGTCAAAATGCTTTGTCTTTTTTGAATTTTCTACATTCATAAAAAAATTATCTTTCCTAACAATTATACTAATAATTACTAAAAAAAAGGTTCACTAATGAGAACTTTTATATAGAATATTATAAATTACAATTCTCTTAATTCTAAGTAGTAATGAACCCTTTTCGTGAGTTGAGCTCTGAAAAGTGCATAGAATCTATCAATAGACTCTTTTTGTCATCGCTTAAATATTTTAAACAATACTCAAGCATACCGAATATATGTAAAAATCTAAACTTATTAGTTCTGATGAATTCGGAATATTTTCTAAAAATGTACTGCTGCGATCTCGTTCTATTTTCTCGCTGGTAGAGGCATACGTATAAAAAACGAAACTCACGGCTCATCACTTGAAGAAGAACCTAGTTTTGTATGAGAATCCAATGAATTTTACAAAGGCATAGAATTGATAAAATCTTTGTTCAGTCAAATCATTAGCTATCCTCTTCGTTTTTACTATCTTATTGGCTAAAAGATAATCCACTACCAGTAAAATTTTAATAGAAACCAGTAGTGATCTTCCTTCTATTCCGAAACTATGCTTATTCTCCATTTACTGCTAATTAAATGGTATACAATAACCCCTCTATCTGTATTAGATCTAAAAGAAATACATTTTATTTGCATAAATTTTTTGTATTGATGAATAGTAGCAAACACTACTTCTTCAACTGCAATGCCAACTACTACTCGGAAACCTGGTAAATATGAAATTATTTCTGCTTTGCTTCAGCATATTTCTTATTCTTAATCGTACTGATACACTGCCTTTTTATCTATTGTGACTTGACAGTGCACCTAAATCGTCTAATTGCATGAAGAAATTATAATGAATATTGTGAACATTTAGATACTTATTCAATCGATTCTTTGATTTTGACTTTGCTTCAGCTTACTCGTGAATGACATACCAAAGTATTTGATTAAAATAAGTGAGGCGTTCCTTTATAGAATTGCGAATCATATTCCTTATCATGCTAAATTGTACCTGTTTGATTATACGACTGCCCTTCGATATTTGAGTCCTCAAGCGATTGCACCAACATCTCTTTTACTAATATTGGGTTGGCAAGAAAGTTTTGTCATTTTTTAAAAATTTTCATTTTCATTTTTTCTTTCAAACATCAAGCTAGTTTTCAATGACATATGCTTAATCGCTATCTATGACCTGTTGCCAACGCTCTGGTGAAGAAAATATCCCATGTTCATAAAGGTCCAGAGACTTTTGGCTGAAAAAGTTAGCCAAGTCCGTTTTGAGATTACTTTCGTCATCGAACTTTTTCTCACACAGATGACTGGAGAACGATCGAAACAAGTGATAGTCAGTAGGAGCCAAATCTGGAGAGTAAAGTGGATGAGGAATGGTAACCCATCCTAGCTTCAATAGTTTTTCGCGGGTCGACTTTGTAACGTGTGGCCTTGTGTTATCATGTGAAAAGTAGGGGTGCAATAGTTCAGGTCTAGTTCTGAGCGTAGGAGCTGTTCGAAAGTTCATTTCGGTATGAGCTGATTGTTTTGAGCAGCTCCTTTCAAAAGAGCTGATCTGATCGAACAGCTCTCGTTCCTGAACTGGAGTTTTTCAAGAGCTCCTTTGAAAAGAGCTGATCTGATCGAACAGCTCTCTCTCTCTCTAAAGNCGAGCTGTTGAAAAAGTTCAGTTCAGGAACGAGAGCTGTTCGATCAGATCAGCTCTTTTAGAACGAGCTGTTCAAATCAATCAGCTCCTACCGAAAGAACGTTCGAACAGCTTTTTCGCTCAGCTCAGCTGAACTTTTGAGCTGGAGCTGATGCACCCCTAGTGAAAAGTAAACCCGATCTTGTTTGCCCTTGATTTTTTGTGCAACACGATCCAATTGGTGACAGTAGAGATCGGCGGTAACGGTACATCCATTCGGTAGCAGTTTCCAATAGATAATTCCTTTAACACTCCACCAGATACTCAACATCACTTTCTTCGGATGGAAATCGTTTTTCGGTGTTACTGTACCGATTCGACCAACGCTAAGCCATTGGCGCTTGTGCGTATAATTAGTATAGAGTACCTACTTTTCATCACCAGTAATGAGATTTCGAAGTCATTCATAGTGACGATGAGATGTCAGTAAATCCAAATAAATATCAATTCGGTATTGAAGCTGATGGGCTGATAATTTATGAGGTATCCAAACCCCATATTTCCACGTCTTTCCTAATTTATTCAGATATGTTTCCACCGTGGTATGAGAGCATCCGAGTTTCTCTGCTAAACAGCGTGTCGTCAACCGAGGATCATCTTCAATGAGTTGTTTTAATCGATCCAAATCTACTTCGACTGGTCTTCCAGAGCGAGATGAATCGCCCAATTCAAAATTTCCACTGTTGAGCTGATTCAACCGACGCTGTGCCGTACGCGTGGAGATAATATCTTGACCCATTGTGCGGCATATGTTGTTTGTCGCTTCCGCTGTTTTATGATCCAGAAGGAATTCAAGAAGTAAAAGCCCTCGAATCTCTCTTCGAGAGAGATTCATTTCTGTTTCATGATCGGCATTCATATCGATAACAGTTATATCGTTCGATAGCTACTCATATTCCCTTTATATATCCTTCATATAGAAACTTCCAGAACATTCTCGAACGTTCTATGAAAGCTTTTAAAAAAACAATAAAACTTTCTTGCCAAACCAATATAAACCTTTAATGTCTTAATGAAAATCTTTATTCTATTTAATAGATGTTGAAGATGAAAAAGAATATAGTTCATTCGATTTTCTTGTTAATTACAGCTCATTTTCGAATTTTGATATGATGATATGAAAAAATTTAGTGAGTGTTCATTCTCCTGAAAATTATGCCGAAATATAATGGTAATGAGGAATATTGACTATTAAAAGCTAGTTTCTAAAAAATTTCTAATTTATGTGTGAATGGAGAAAATGAAGGCAGAGAAGAAAATAGAATGAGATTCATGAAAAATATAGATACATAAAGGAACTAAAAACAAATAGATTAATTTTTATATTCATTGGTAAGAAGTACAACATATATATCTCAAAAAACTAATATTATTTCCTAGAAGAGGAACAAAATCTATAGTTTGTATTGCTACAAGAGCTTAGTTTTGTGCTTTTTGGATAACAAATAAGATTAATCAATGGGAAATTGTTCAATCATGCAGTACGCCATTGATTAAGTGAATCATGAAGTATAATTAGACTTTCTACTATGTTGATACCAGAGTATGATAGTTTTTCTGTTTCTTTTTCTGTCTCATATAATAGCAACTACTTCAATAGTTTTCTAATATGTATTCTAAATGTAGAAATATTCGATTGTTCTCGCGAGTCTATTGAAGCCATGAAGTAAGTCTTCGACAGATGGAATCATTAAAATAACTTCATTTTTAATAATGATATTTCGAGTATTAATCGTAACTAATAAAAAGTCTTAGTTCAAGAATTGCGATTGACCTATGAGAGAACAAGACAAATGTCATGGTGTGAGAATCTTGTGTTACCAAAAAAATAAACCGCAGAAAGACCAAATGTTTTTTTATTATGAATGGGGTCTTTCTCCTGTTGGGTAGAGAAATATCAGATATAGTGGTTATTCTATTTCAGTGTCTACATAAAGCTAAAAATGAAAAAATGAAAATGGCATTTAAAATAAAATAAAATAAAATAAAATAACATTAATATTAATTTTTCTTCAGCATTCGTTCCATTACGAGCAAGTACTATCGAAATTCTTCCAAACGCACAGTGGAAGCAAAATGGTATCACTTTAACCGAACAATATCTGCTAGTCAATGGAACCAATAACACCAATGGAATATTCGCCCCAATGGGTGTGTTTGTTGATGATGAACAAACGGTGTATGTTACTGATCCAAATAATGGTCAAGTTATGAAATTCGTATTAGGTGCAACAAGTGGTCAAATAGTGGCTGGTGGAAATGGGAAAGGTATTGGGGCTCATCAATTGAATGGCCCATCGGATGTAATTGTCGACAAAGAAACAAATAGTCTCATTATATGTGATAATTCGAATAAAAGAGTGGTTCGATGGCCTCGTGTAAATGGAATACGTGGAGAAACAATTATATCAAACGTCAGTTGCCATGGTTTGACAATGGACGAGAGTGGATCTCTCTATGTCGTTGGTTATGACACAGCTGAAGTAAGACTGTATCGGAAAGGTGAATCTCAAGGCAGTATAGTGGCAGGTGGAAACGGACGTGGAAATCGTCTCGATCAACTTGATTGGCCACAATATATATTCGTCGATCGAGATCGTTCAATTTACGTATCTGAATGGTACAATCATCGTGTAACAAAATGGGTAGAAGGTGCGAAACAAGGCATTGTCGTGGCTGGCGGTAACGGGCAAGGAAACAGCCTTAAACAATTTGCAGGTCCTGAAGGTGTTCTTGTTGATCAATCAGGCGGTGTCTACGTGGCTGATGGATTCAATGGTCGAGTCGTACGTTGGGCCAAAGGCGCCACACAGGGTACTATTATTGCCGGTGGAAATGGTCAAGGAACATCATCGAACCAAGTCAGTCATCCCTATGGTATAGCGTTCGATCGATACGGCAATCTTTATGTTGTCGATCAATGGAATCATCGAGTACAAAAATTCAGTATTGCTTGAAATGTGTAAGAGCGTGTACGCCTATGCTTTTTTCTTTTCTCTACTGATTAATAAAATCTATTGAATTATATTCTGTTTTATTGAAGCGCGTGCATGATTTAGAAATAATATAATAGAATCTTAGCAACTAATTTAAAGCTCATCTGAGCACGTGAGCTAGGGTGGCCCACAGATGAAGGCGGAATTGGGTCACCAATACTGATCGAAGTTGGTCTTCTCCTAGGGAAAATCTTTGATGTTTCCTTTCTAGATCCTTTACAGATCCGCCAAGAATCCTGCAAGAATTTGCTCTTTTTTTCTGATCAAATGATGAAATCTTGAAGGAAACGTGTAGCCGTGAAATCTTCAAGATTTGTACAGGATTCAAATAAGATCTCAGAAGGATCTTGGCAGGATTTTGACGATTCCTAGTGAAAAAATTCTGTTTACATATTTTAGGATCTTAGCAGATTTCATCTATTATATTATTATATTTCCTGACCAAATCATGTCAAGATTTATCAAGATTTGTTTCAGTATGCGATTACGTTTCTTGGCAGGATCTTTGCAGGATTTTCTAAATAGAATATAAATGAAATGAACACACAGAGTATTGATCTCTAGACCTTCAGTTTACATACCGATCAGCTTACCAAGCCGAATGTGCTATGTCGTTTTATATCAATTCAACGTTCAATGTCTTCATTTCTCACTTTGATGTTAACCTCTATTTGAATTTTATGTAAACTGAAATTATTTCAACAAAATTCTGAAAATGCAATATTATTTTATATGTTAATTTTAGTTGATGAAATTTCATCATTTTTGAGGATTTAAATTCGATTTAAAAAATGTATTGCCAATTTTTTTATTCCAATTTGATTTCAATAATATATTTGGATTTCTTAAATTTTGATTTGATTGAAAAAATATATTTCGAATTAATATATTTTAATTTCGTTCAAAACAATATTTGAAATTTTTTTTTGAACCTAATGAAAACTGTGAGTGATTTTGATCAAAAAGGTTTGGTACTGATTAAGATTATATATTTAACGAGAAAATTTTACAATTCTTAAATTCTAATTAGCACCGCAACTTAATTTTTTTCAAATTTATTTCTCAGATAAGATAAGAAAGGGCTGAATATCTTAGTTCGAATTTCAATGTATAACTTTTATATAAGGTATAAAAAGGTTTAGAAAATATTTTTTTGAGATTTTTAAGATTGATTCTCTTTCTTTATTAAAAGGATCAAATCAGGATCTGAATAGAAACGGTGGTAGATTATTTAGCTATCAGTGTTTCCTCGTGTACTAAATACAAACGAAACAACACCTTAAAAGTTCTTCTATCTATTTTATTGAGATTGTGCTTAACATTAGTATTAAAATTCTGTTGTGCTCTATTCATATACAAATCTGGAAAATTTCCTGATCCAAACCTAGCTAATAAAGTGACGAAGTTGTTTCATTCATTCCTGTTCGGTTCTTCACCGCATCCTGAAAATTAAATTTTGAATAGTGTCTAAACACAAACCTGGAAAGATCTTTACTGGATCCTCGTATTTTTCTATCAAGATTCTGTTTATATTTGTGCTTTTTGAAGAGTTTCAATTTTCTGTTCTTGAACGGTTCCTCACAAGATCCTGATCAAAGCTTGATAGGATTATTCAGTAAAGGATTCTCAGTAAACTTCTTTTATTTCTGGTAATGACGTGAGAGACTAGCTAGTCAAATATCAAAATAAGACAATGGATTGATCCATTTAGCTGTAACTTCTAGGAGTGATTATATCTATGTATTTATGGAACAAAAACAAGTACAACTCTCTATATTGTAGTACATTGAAAGATTTTGTTCACAGTTTTATTATTATCAAAAGAATTATTTTCAAGAAAACTGCAAAAGAAACTTTGTTTTCATATAATCTTTGTATTTTCATACAAGATACATCCAATAGATTACACTAAATATGATTAATTATAAATTTGCGATATTATTAAACAATGTGATAAAGATGTTATGAGTTCATGTTTAGATTTTCGTGTTTTCCGAATTCACCCTCGATTGCAAATGCTAGAAGGTTCGGATTAGTTTTTCAACTGTAGTTTAGATGTGGCACTGTCACTTAGTAGTCACATCATAAAATCAATAAACTATAGTGTGTTTGACAGTAGATTGCAGCTCTATTTAATGAGCTATAAAACATAAAATTCATACGTTTGACCAAAATTGGGTTTAAAATCACTTTCATTGCTTTTTTGAGCAGTATTTTCATCATATTTAGTTGAACATCTTCAACAATTGGAACGCGTTGTTGATGCATTTATATAAAAGAATAAAATCAATTTTAGTGATGTTTGAATTAAGTATCACGAGGCTTTGAGTTTTAATCTTGAAAAGAAAATGCTTCTTCTCATATTTTCTCAAGTGTATCCGTTGATAATTAAACAGCTGTATAGAGAATACCAAACGATATTCTAAAACATATAATTATGATATCGAATGAATGCTTTTGGAAGAATATTTCTATGAAAATCAAAAGTAATATATGTTGTAAACATATTGGTCGAGAAAATCTACTGAAATTTATTGTTGATTGTTTTCTTCATAACTTTTATCAGGAATAGTATTTTTTTTAAATACTAATCAAAAGACAAATAGTTAAATGGGTAATAAAAAGACGTAAAAGATGCACTGGATATAAAACAAAATAGAAAATTTTCAAGACGAACATGATTATAGGCGCCATAAAGTCATGAAAAGGTCTTAATTTATTCAGCATGTTTTGATCATAATTCTAAAATCAAATGTAGTTAAATATAAAAATTTAATTAAAAAAAACTTCTAATCATTCTACACAGTGAATAGAAGAACAGTCACAACAAAAACACATCGGATACTATATATATTAACAGTGAGAATGATGCTGTTCAATCTGGTAGAGATAAATGAAGGGACATTTTGTATGTTTTATTGGCGAGATTTATATTATTGGCGAATATGACTGATTCCCATATTCTTCACCATTTAATATCGATACTTTTCAATCCATCGTTATCTGAATGAAAAAGTATCAAGTTACATCGCTTAGTATTATTCACCTATTCATTTCAACTTATCGTCAGTTTATTCTCGCAAATGACTGATATACTTACTTTAGAACTACAATACAGAGACAAATCTGAACATAAAATAATCCAAACAAGATAAATTTAATGCATATTTTTCATACAATCTAATAAACAAATCCAAATGCACATTATTTGTTTTATTTTTATAAGGAGAATTCACTCATGATTTAGTGATCATGTTGACAAACAAAAAAAAAACACGATCAAAAGTGCGAAAATGAACTCTTCAGCATTGATACATTTTCGAAATATAGATCACCGTGCCTAAAATGCTTAAACTTTATCCTATTATTTACAATGACATTTTTTGAGTAAACACATATTTATCTTATCTTCGATCAATAATACTTTTGAAAATCCTGAATATATAAGATCAAGAACAAATTGACAAAAATTCAATACGCAGCTTAATACATTATTCAACAATAACTTATTTTCGTTTCTTTTGGTATTGTTTTTCAATTTTAACACCTTTTCTAATTATGGATACAGACACAAACAATATATCTACAAAAGATGAAAATAAATACTTCAAGATTAAGGTTTTTTATTTTTAAATCATCTATTGGCACATTATCATCATCAAGCAACAGAGCATCATCGGTAACATATAAATTTGAAATAGCTTACATTTCAAAAATCAACATAATCAGATACATTAGAATCAATGTGAATGTCGATGTTGACATTGAATTTGATCACATTCTAATAGAAACCATTTGTTTATTTTTTAATTGGTTATAAATCAATTTTAGTCTAAAAGTCCTTTACTATGAAAGTTGTAGCCAAAATACATTTTTCAGCTAGATAGAACATTACTCTATTTCTTATAGTCGATATGTGTCTTTGTTATGGCTGGAATCTACAATAAAAGCTAAGTTAAAAGAGGTGGACCGATGTCATGAAGTTTTCAGTCTACGGACCTGATACCATAAAACAATGAAAGGAATTATTGTCATAAGAAAGTTTGCATCAACTTTAAGTGAGTGTTTTTGTAAAAAAGGTTCACATTCCAAAAAATATTCATGCCTTTACGACTTCGACTGAAACTGCTTTAATTGTAATTGATACACGCCCGATATTAAGAAGTGAAGAAAATATTCAAATGATGAATAATTAGTTTATTTTAATACTGGTAAGACGTGATATCCTGTTCTGTATTCATTCGTCTAATGCTCAAATGCTGTTATAGCTATGCACAATGTTTCCTAACGACAGAAAAGCTTGATTCTTTTCTCCATCTTCTAGTAAAGTCGATAAAAAACCTAGAATGAATCTCACGACTTATGTTATATTATTATCGGTTCTATTATTATGAGACATATCAAAATAAGTATATGCAAAATAATCACTATCTTCATTATAATACTTCAAAAACTCAATAAGCCTATACAATATAAATATTTAAGATAGGTTAGAGCAAACAACATATTATTCGTAGCATAATCAGCGTAGAGGCTCTGTTGATTCTCTGCCAAAGAATATTTATTCTAAGATTTACCTTATCTTATCTCTTCTTCATTGCTTCATACAGGATTAGAATTCGTTTTATTAATCACAGTCATTTAGAAAATTATAATCATAATCATACAAAGTATATGAAATTTTTAAAAACTGTGACCACTAATTGAATTCGGAGGAGCTCCATCAGCAATAACTTCGACCATATGTACCCAAACTTCAGAGTTAAATTTTCCATAATAGCCCGCATAAGTACCAACTTTGAAAGCTCCTGGATATCTGCCAGTTGGCAATGTTTTTCCAGAGTGGATAGTTTTCACTGGTCCGTTATCATAACGAACATCCATCCATCCATCATTGTTAGTCGTAAAATAAGCCCACATTTCTATTGTATGCATTCTGCCTCTTGGATCTTCAGTTGTAATTTTTTTAATAATTGGATTAGGACCTGTTTCAGCATAAACAGACAGTTCAACTCCATTTCCTGGCCATGCCATCCAAAAAAAGATTGGATTCCATGGAGCACCGGGTACTTGTTCTATACCTTGTCCAATGATACCAGCTTGATTACCAAGATTATTGGGAATGAAATAAATTGCTTTAAAGTAACGTTTAGCTCCATTGCCTGATATTATATTATCTCTTCGGAGCTCAGATCTTCCCTTTGCACTTCCATCTTGAGCGTTAGAGTACGCTTTATACCAACTTGCTTCTATGGTGTAGCTTCCACTTTCAAAATCTATTTTAAATTGATCTTTATCATTTGGATTATCGAAATGCGAGTAAATCAGGCGTTGACTGAAGATGATTACTACGCAATGAAATAAAATTAGTACCGATAGCATTCAATCTATAAAAATATGAAAAAATTAAAAACTCTGTAGGTCATATTTACAAAAGGATTGTTTGTGTGTGCATCAACAACATACCTAGAAAAAATTGATCGAATATGTATCTTTCAGAATGCTCTAACTTATAATAGTGTATATGCCATTCAATACATTCCATTTTTCTCGAGCTGTTTACGCGTGGCACAGTAGGCTTTCCATTAGAAAAGGATTAACATGATTGTTTCCATTAAAAACTGTCAGTACGACCGAACAATTAAAAAGAGATTTTGTATTTATATTTGGATTGATTTCATCTATGGAATCACGTATCACTATATAGGAAAATATTTCGATTAGAAACAGATCAGTCTATCTTCTAACAAAAAGATAAATCAATCTGCTGGTCTCTACTCTTGCTTTTCAGCAATCGATCAAAGTCGTATTTGATTGTATAGAAAAATTTAGAAATTGTACTTGAGTTTAAAAATGAATAAGTAAATGCAGAGTTAATTTTCCGACGCGTTTCATGCTTATTTATTATTTAAAAATTTGAAACACTCTTCAGGGCTCTGCAATTTTGCTTTAGCACAAAAAAGGGGAAAAGTAAGAGATTAATTTTTTTTATAAAGTACAAATAAATCAAAAAAAAAAAAGGAAGAAAATAATAGTACAATGAAATATGAAGGAAATACTGTAATGAAAAAAGTACATGGTAGAATGAAATACGAACTTTTGGCTGTTGAAGCGAGAAGATTTTTCGCGACAACCGTTGAAACGGCCAGGTTTCAGCAAAAACCGTCGAATTCAACGTTGTTTCTTTTATTTTGAGCCCATATCTTCATTGGTTCGTTCAGGTACTGAGTTTGGCTGTTGTGTAAACGGTCGGATTTTTAGCGAAAACCGTCGAATCCAACGTTGTTCCTGGATGCATTGTCTAATTTTGAAGCCATGGTGATCAATGGACATGTTGTCTAATATTGAAACGTTCAATAATTCGTTTGAACGTAAATGTATCGTTTTTGTCGTATTGATACGCTTACTAGTTGTAATTCGTTTTCCTTATTCTGTCTTTACTTATACCATGTTCATATTTATATGTTTTCATTCTGTTGTCTTTACTGATATCGTATTGATGTTGATATTCGTTTTGTAATTTAGTTAAAGTAATTCAATATTGAATCGTATAAGTCATAATTGAATTAGATTCGAATACGATAATTTTGTAATTTAACTAAAGTTAATAACTAATTTAAAACTAATTTGAATTGATTTCGTTTTTGAGGCCAAATTGTTGATTTAAATTTGATAAATTTAATACTAATTAAAGTAAGTTCAGTTCCGTTTAATACTGTTTTGAATACACAATATTTAAACGAAATTGGGCAAGTTTCATATAGAAATCAAATTGTAATGAAATATTGAATTTAAATGCCAAATATTAAGACTAAGTTGAGCAAATTTTAAGTTGAACAAATTTTATATTAATCCGAATTAATTTTATAGTAAATTGAATAAATTTTATATTAAATCGAATAAATTCCATAGTAAATTGAGCAAATCTTATATTAAATTGAATAAATTTCATATTGAACTGAACAATTTTTATATGAACCGAATTAAATAAATTTCTTATTATGGCGTATTGAAATGGAATATTGAACGGCAAATATTAAGACGAAACACAGATATCCGATTGCTTATCTTATTGAAATATAAGATAGATATTAATTTTTCGATTTGGTGTGTATTAATCGTCTTTGTAGATTATCGACATTTCTTGTGCCAAGTATGGGAGTAACTTCATTTATTGGAGATTTATCGAAGTATTTCTCCCATAGAGTATGAAATTTCATGGGAAATGTCTTCATACTTGAACAATAAGTAAAGTGGACAAATATCGATTTTTCGTAATTCACCAGTAATTTATCTTTACTAGGAGAATCTATAATCTTTTGACGAGATCTGTTATAGTTGGTTAAAGTTAAGGGTTCGTCGATACCAATAATTGAATTTAAGACTAACCCTTCTACAAAACTTAAACCAATACCACGGTAAAACTAAATTTAAAACCGATTTTATATTAAAATTAAATACAAGACTGATAGATAATTTTATAATTTAAATCAATTCAATAATTTTATAACTAAATTAAATTTTTTAAATTAAATTCAAAGAATAAATAAATACGATAATTCTATAACTAGGTTCAATTGTATCGTTAAGCTGGATTCCATTTATTTATATGTTTTTTACAATTAAATTGAATTTAAAGAATAAGTACAATGATTATATAATTTTAACCAAATTTAATAGTGATTTCATAAGTATATAATTGAATTGAAATGAATATTAATTTTGTAGTTGAATTTAAATCAATATTGGTTTTGTAATTGAATTGAAACCTATTCCAATAAGCAGCAATATTTTTCTTATAACAATAAGAGAAGTATCAGCTTTTCGATTTGGTATGTATTAGCCTTTTTGCAGATTATCGGCATTTCGAGTACCAAGTATGAGGATAACTTCATTGATTGGAGATTTATCAAAATATTTATTCCATAAGGTATGAAATTTAATTGGAAATGTCTTCATACTTGAACAGTAGGTAAAATGAACGAATATTGACTTGTCATAATTGACAGATAATTTCTCTTTTATAGGAGAATCTATAATTTTTTGACGAAATCTATTGTAATTGACTGAAGTTAATGGTTCATTAATACCAAATTTTACTAAAACATTATCGAATTGTTCATCAATAATTTTATTTGGATATTTATTCAATAGAAGTGCCATTCTTAATTTTTCACGTTCATTTAGATATGATTGAAAGGTTGAACAATATCTAATGGCACGTAATAGCATGGCAAATGGAATATTCTTTTTCATGTGTAATGGATGAATACTATTAAATGGCAAGTAGTATGGTTCATAGGATGGCTTCTGGAAAACTGTCGTATATAATTGACCATCTCGATTTTCCATATTTAAATCTAGAAAATTGACAGTTGAACCGATATTTGCAGATAAATTAATATTTTCATCGAATTTATTCCATCTATCTACTTCTTTAAGTAAATGTCGAACAGGCCAATTAATAGTAACAAATATATCATCATTATATCGGAAATAAAGCCCACCACTATTTCGAATTTGATTAACTATTTGTCTTTCAAAAAAGTACATATAACAATTAGAAATAGTTAGGGTAAGAGGAGAACCCATTGCTCCTCCTCTTATTTGATGATAAAATTGACCATTATAGGAAAAATAATTATTTTTCATAACAAATCGACTTAGTCGAATAATTGTTTCGTCTTTTAATTTACCAACTTGTTTTAATTTTAGTTGATCTAACATTTTCCTTAAAGATAATACTCCTTCGATTTGGGGTACCATAGTATAAAGGTCTGTGACATCAATCGTACAAAATAAAGTTTCTTGTTTAAGATGATTTCTTGACCATTGTTGTAGTTGTTTAACTAAATCAAAACCAGAAGTGACCGTAGAATTTAAAGCCATCTGATCGAATAATGGTCGAAGTAAATCATCAAGAAATTTTGATATTTTAATTGTTGGATGTTTCAAACCAGAAATAATTGGCCTTAAAGGAGTACCAGGTTTATGAGCTTTTGGTAAATAATATAAATGAGCTAATTCGACTTCATTTGGTTTAATACTTAATTGCTCATACTGTTTTTGGGTAATCCATTTGACTAGTCTTAAATCTAATAAGTATTTATTTGTTCGTTGAATTAAATCAGGAAGTGGATCAATTACACCAAGACATTGATATGCTTTTGTATTATCCATATATTCTTCTGATTTTTTCTGATAATGACCAACTTTTCCTAAATGAAATACTTTAGATTTATCAGTCTTTCTTAATATTGTATTAGCCAAATGAATTTTATATTTCAATCTCTTCACTATTCGACCATAATTTTTCTTTTTTCTTGGACGAATAATAGCTTGAGATTGACTTAATTGACTTGATTGAATAATTGAGGACAAGGTTTCAAATGATTTATTTGTTTGAATTCTATTAAATTGTAATTGTTTCTTAGTAGTGGGAATATTATGTAAATTTTGGAGCAAGACATCTAATTTAGCAATAAATTGTTCGACTGGACTACCGGGGCTTACTTTCTTTTCGAAGAAGCGAGCTTCTATTTTCCGTTTCAAAGTTGCCAATTCAGTTGTCCTTCGTCGAGATGCTGTTTTTGGATCATCAAATATAAACTGGGGACCTAATTTTAATAATTGATGTTCTTGCTCAGTTAATGTTATATTTGCTTGATTGATTATGGCTGGAGCAAGAAATCCTCGCCCAGTGATCTGATCAGAGTCGGGGTGAAGATTGGTTCTTGATTGCTGTCTTCGTCCTCGACTTGCTGTGCGTCTAAAAAATAGATTGATTGATCAGTTTCTAAATTGAATCGTTTTTCACGTAATTCATGATATTGTTTGAAAGCTGCACAACCAGCTTCAGCATCAAATCCGTCGTCGTTTTCATTTGGAAAACCATCAATGATACGTTTAATTTCATTTGTCAATAATTCATGTTCTCTACCTAATGATTGCATATATAGAGCCATGGCTTGTGTACGAAAATCTTTAGTCATTTTAGACATCTGATTATACAAAGCTTGTGATTCATCAGGGCTCAATATTGATTCATCAATTTTGAATTTAAATTCAATATTAGAAATAAATTTTGGAGGTAGATCATATTCAATTCTTTTAAGAACTGTTCGATGATTTTTATTTTTTGTTGACCAAACTTTCATTTTAGGTTTTAGTAAAACATGAATATTCCATTGTGATGGAGCAGCTATTTGTTCAAAGTCTTCCAAGGCCTTAAATTCAGCCATTTGCGCTTTAGCTAATTGAACTCGAGTTTCAGCTACTTTCTTTACATGTTGGGTACAATGGTGAATATAATCTAGGATATGTTTTTCTAATCGATCAACAGGATCACGATGAGCACTTTTAACGGTGGTTGATCCAGCTGTTGTCGTTGTTGTAGATGCTGGCACTGCATTTTTTGCTAGTGTTGATCCTAAGCCTGTTCTTTCTAGAATTAAATTGGTTGTCAATTCAGCTGTTGTATGGGCTTGTTTTTGGGTTGTTATTTCAGATGAATTTTGCATCCAATAAGTAGATAATTCTATTTGTAAATCTGAAATAGTAGCACTAGCTTGAGCAATACTAGTCATTATTTGATTAATTTTTTTATTAATAAATCGGCAATTTGTTGTTTCATCACGTTTCTTTGTTCGTTGAACAACTTCTTTTGCCCAATGTTTTTGTTCTGTACCCATTTTTAAGTACGTTTGCCAGATTTGTAATTCATAATTATTCCGAACCCATTCATCATAGATCGGAGCTGTTGCTAATAGATATGCTTGATTACCACGACCACTTGCAGAATTCTTTGAATTTTTTGAATTATCTTCAAACCATCGTAACATACGATTTGATTCAAGATAGAGTCGGGTCTTCTTCTTTTTCATATCTCGTCTATTTTTGTTTCTAAAGATGGGTTCGTTATTTAAATCGATTTCAACAGGACCATCATCATTATCATTATTATTATCTTCAGCTAATTCAGCAAATCGATTATAATTTGAATTTCGACGATTTCGACGATTTTGTTGATTTTGCTGTTGTCCACCTCGACGTTGTTGACGTCTATTCGATGATGTTGTTGTTGTCTGTTGCTGTTGGTTTTGATTGACCATAAATGGTTGAGTCGTATTATTATTATAACTAGCTGTAGTTGCAGCATTTGCAAATACCTGCCGTTGTGGTAATGCATCTGGTGGAGCAGGGATTGTTTCCAAATAAAATTCTTGAGGAAGATTTGGTGCCGTAGGTGAAGGATCACGTAGCTCTGTTGGCATAAAATCGTTTAAACGTAATTGTCTTGGACGACGTCTACGTTGTTGTTGTTGTTGAGGCTGTCTTGATTGACTTCTTCCTCGATTTTGATTAGAACCACTACGAGCTCTAGTAGGTTGACCTATTCTTCCTTGATTTGGATACAATCTTCTTTGTTGAGGTATCTGTTGTAATGGTGGTATATATGGTTGATTCATAATATCATAGCCATTGAAACGACGCTGTTGTTGATAATTTTGATAATTTCGATTATAATATATATTTCGACGATACAAATTTCCATTTGGATATTGGTTTGGATATTGGTTCGGATAAATTGGATAATTTCCGTAATTTTGATTAACCGGATTATTTCCATAATTTCGATAATTATAATCATTGCCCCCCAAAACACCAACACGACGACGACCTTGTTGTTGTTGTCGTAGTGGTGGTGGTTGTAATGGGACTTGATTGTTATTATTATTATTAGTATAACTTATGGTCGACATGAATCGTTGGATAAGTTGAGATAATATGGATCAAATTAGAATAAATTTTATTCAAATAATTCGATGCCCGAAATAATTGGATGTAAATCGATTCGAAAACAAATCAATCTATCTCTTAACGAAAAGACAAATCAATTTGCTAGTCTCAACTTTTGCTTTTTCAGCAACCGATCAAAGTCGAATAATTAAGATATTTGTGCTCGAATTTAATATAAAAATGCAGAATTTTATTTTGCCGACGCGTTTCGTATCTTTTACAAGATAGTACTCTTCAGGGCTCGAGATGTATATATTTATCTGAAAGTAGAAGAAACATTTATTTATTTATTTAAATTAAATATTATGATCAAATCTAGCAATTTATTCCAAACTCTGGTTTACTTGAACCAAAAGATTTTCAATAGAAATAATCGTGACTATATATCTAGAAATAGAAACAGTATGTAAAAGAAATTAAATGAGAAAATATTTAATATGATTTATTTTTAAAGCAGAAGTAGAAAATAATTAGAAATAAAACGAATTAGAAGATTGTTTTTGTAAAATAGAATATTTACTTATTTTATAATTAACCGAGTAATTGGAAGTTTGTTTCTTTACATAATAATTATGAATAATAGCAGGAGTTAAACCATGATAAATTTTCTTATTAAATGATCCGTTTCTAAATAAATTCAATATATATAAACCATATTCATTATTTGAATTACATAAATCAGTGACATAAATAAAGAATTCATTCATATTTTTGATAAAATCACTAAAGAGACACTCGTCAAATTTTTTAACTTGAATTACATTAATTTCATCTATTTTAAAACCTGATAAATATAATAGATTTGCAGCTAATGATTCAGTATAAGGCCATTTATTTCGACGATTCTGCTCACATCGTTGACATTTACACTCATCGTTATGAGTACAATATTTAATTCCTATCAATGGTAGAACAGCACCATTTTTATCGTATACATCTATCAACCAAATCAAATATTCATCAGTAATTTCAGAAGCTGTTGAAGAACTGGTAGATTGTTGTAATTTCATTTTATTTTTAAACGGAAAAAATATCTAGAATAAAAATTATAATAGATATTCGACAATGACTTGTATATTATTGAATAATTTTACATGAATTCAAATTAAAAAAAAAGAAATCACAAAACATAACATAAGATACATAAAAAATGATCAGTTATACACACATCCAAATTATTAAAAAAAGAATTGTTCGTATTTGATAATTTATAATACCATATTAATTCAATGAAATTTGAATAGACTTCGGGAAAAGGGAAAGGAAATCAAAGAGATTTATTACACACGATGGCTGGAAGGACGTCTACTCCCATAAGGGCATTACCTTCCTGATGGCACATCGATCTTCTTTCATTTTAAACAAAACAAAAACAAAAACAAAAACAAAATTGGAGTCCAAGATAACTTCCCTACTAAAATTTTATAGAAGGACAAAAACTCTGAGAAAATTATATTCGTAAATAAATCTAAACAGACCTGATCATAATAATAATTGTTATTTAAATTTGAGTAATATCATAATTTGTATTATAGTCAACAATCAAACTAAAAAGAAACAGCAGAGAGTAATTACTAAAATAAAAATAGTATATTATATTTTGATATCGATGATATTCTCTGCCGACTATTGTCCAAATGAAATGAAGATGAGATGAGGCACAGAATAAACTTTGAATTTTATTATTCATTATCAGTTGAAGACATTCTTGAATAAATGGGGGTGCCAAATATTTCATAGCATATTATCACGTCTGTTAAGATCAAAAAATAAATAGTAACAAATACGTGCTAGTATATAATGTCCTGAAGACGTGGTTGAATTTTAAAATAATTTAAACAAAATACAAAGTTTCTTTTACAATTATCGAAAACTTCATTTCTTTTTTCTGGAGTTTCTTAGCAATATTTTTCAATATCAAATTTCGAATTTTTTGTTCAAAAATCTCAACCTTCTATACCACCGGAAAAATTCATGATCCAATATTTTATTATCAGACTGAAACTATTCGATAGAGAATTCAATACTGATTCTAATGATATATCATACCAAGAGGCAACTATCACTGTCTAATATTTAAAAATTCTCCGACACAACCGATGAGGTAACCTTAAACAAGGACTCGACCAGTAATACCCATTCGGAAAAATTATCTTTGATATCTATTAATTTCCAATCCATTTTAACGGATTCAAAATTGAATTCTGGTTCTAATAAAATTAATTTCAAAGAGAGGACTACATCCGTTATGCATTAAAAAATATTTCTCATTCACTAGGCGACCTCTCAAGGTCATAATTGACGGTCTACTAACCCTTGTGAAAAATTATCCTGGACATCCGATGACTTCTTTTAAATATAATCTGATTCAGAATAAAATTCTGATTCTGACAATATTTATTAGAAAGAGAGAACTACTTCAGTTAAGTCATAAAAAATTATTTACTGTCACCAATGGCGACCTCCTATGGACACTATTGGGCCTGTAGTACCCCTTCGGAAAAATTATCCTAAATGTCCGATGACTTCTTTTAAATATGATCTGATTCAGCATTAAATTCTGGTTCTGACAATATTTATTAGAAAGAGAGAACTACTTCAGTTAAGTCATAAAAAATTAATTTTATTTCTTTTGACGCCCTCTCAAGGACACAATTGGGCCTGTAGTACCCCTTCTAAAACATTATCGAAGACGTCCGATGACAACTCATATATATCATCAGATTCAGGATTGAATTCTGATTCTTCTAATATCTATCCGAACCATAGATCTATCTCTATTGTATTTGAAAAAATTATTTACTGTTTCGCTTGGCGATCTCTCAAGGTCACAATTGGGCCTGTACTACCCCTTCTAAAAAATTATCGAAGACATCCGATGACATCTCATATATATCATCGGATTCAGCACTGAATTCTGATTCTAATAATATTTATTAGAAAGATGGAAGTTTCTTTGTTTAGCCACATAAAATTATTTAGTGTCACGAATAGCGACCTCCTATGGATACAATTGGGTCTGTATTACCCCTTCTAAAAAATTACCCTTCATATCCGATGACAACTCATATATATCAACAGGTTCAGAATTCAATACTGATTCTTATGATATATGATTGAAACAGTTGGGTGTGTGGGTGTGAAGAATAACCACAATAAATAGTTATTTTATTTTATTTATTTCAATTCTATAAAATAGAATCATTATCAAGTGGCAATAGATATTTATTCTGATCCAAAAATCAATGAATTTAATATCTACGGATGATAACAATTAAATTACATGAGATTATTTATATAGTCTTTGTTGCAGATGATGATGACAGAAAAGCGATTGAATTTATTGAAGAGTGTTTTGATATTGTTATCAGAAGGGTTGAGCTTTTAAAGTTTCATTTAACATTTTATATTTTTGTCGGCAATACTTGATTATTTTTTTGTTTCTTTTTGGATGTGGAATATTTGGACAAGGTATTTGAAGTCGACGATGGTATATAAAACGTTTGTCGAATAATCAATTATTGAATTGACGTAGTATTTCAATTCCATTTTCACCAGCTAATAAACATAATTCAGTTGCATATTTCAAAAATTGACTAATATTGGTTAAATGATCAGAGATAAGCGTTTCTTCAAATTTGGATACCTCATTATAACTAATTTGATCGATATTTATACCAGTTAAATATAAAAGATTTGCAGACAATGATCGTTCATAAGGCCATTGATTTATTCGATTTTTTTTACATCTTCTACATTGACATTTGTCATCACCAGTACTAAAATAAATGAGAAATAATAAAAAAAATTGAATCTAAAATCATGAATTCATTACCAATATCTAATTCCTTGAAATAGTATTTCTTTGCCATTCTTGTCATATGGATGCAACATCCAAAACTGGTATTCTTGTGTAGTTGGATAAATACCAATATAATCATCATGTTTATTGTTCTTGAGCATTATTTTCTTTATAATTTGATGAATGTATATGAATTTATACAAATATCTTATAGAATAAAATCTAAAATAAAAAATATGATAGTTTGTTGATTAGTGTCTCCTAGATTTTTGAATAACATCTCAGAATAGATATTAAAAGATGAAAAATTCTTTAAATCGGAGATTTCATTTCATTATCACGAAGTAATTGATTGATATAGAAGCATATATGATATGATAATTCAATGAATTTAACCAAAGTGGAATTTTTTAGTGTATTATCTATATAAAATAAAATAAAATATAAAATGTTGCTTATATTTCAAATAAATTGGTTATTACCTTTAGAAAGTTAATAGATGTATAAAGATGATTTTTGTGTTTTTGTATGAAAAAGTAATTATAGTTAATCGTATCAAATTGATGTGGAAAACATACCAAAACAGAAGTGATTGAATATATTAAATGAAAATATCTAGAATTAAACATGAAATATTATAGCTTGATAATAAGTAAATAGTTAGTGTAATGAAAACATGGATGAGAAAAGAAAACACAATTAGAACATTGCAATAAAATAAGACAAAGAAAAAAATTAAATGTCTTTTATTCGAATAATAAGTTTTGTCTACTCGAAAATCTTATGTTTTGTTTTTGTCTAAAAATAATATCTTGATTTTTTGTTCCATACAATATTGAGCACGTTGAACCATATTTCGTTGACGATTTTCAATAGCATTCATAACAGTCTCAACTGTTGGTAATTTGTTAAATTTATTTTGTTGGCTTAAAATTTTTGTTTTTTCGGCAGTTGCTATTTCAATATAAGCTTGAATATTTTTTTCAACGATGATAACAGCTTCATTCATTGATTCAAATACCAATTGTTTCAATGGAATTTCATTGACGATTATTGTCGACATAGAATCGAATAATACTTTATTTGTAAGAATAAATGTAAAAATTTCATTCATTTTTACCAAGCCTAATTCCATGAAAGTATTCATTGTCACTGATGCTACTGGTAGAGACATTCATTTTTTGAAAAGAATCAGTTCACATCTTAATAATTGTTCATAATGAGTAGCTTTCCAGATTGTTTTAGTTGAAGATATCTAGAAGAAATAACAACAATAAGTCATAAAAAAAACTAATCAAATAGATATAAACGAACCTCAGTTTTCTTTGCATTTAATTGATAGAAAGTTTCGACTAATCGATGATCTTGAGCATCAAATTTTAACATATGACGTTGTTGTTCTAATTCGATGGATAATCGATATTGATCTTGTTTAATCAAATTATTGATCATACGTTCAAGTTCTTTTAAATCGATAGATAAAGGTGCTTGTTTTTCTTATTGTTCAACTTGAATTTTATAATTAAGAATTTTATTTTGGAAAAAAATTTGACGCTGTCGAATTAATGCTTTTCCACGACCATAACTCACACACACGGAATTGACCATAGCCATTTTCTTTGATATACGTCCGTACCAAATACCTTCTGTCTGGCCAAGTTGATGATAATATGTCCATTGATCATATTGTAAATTGAAGTAATTTAATTGATTTATATGTTGTGGTAAGTCTCGAGTAAATGTTAACATTTCTTCATTATTGAATAATTCAATGTAAGATTGTCTTTCATATTGATCCATCAATAATCGCAAGAATTTTTCTTTAAAAATTTCATTTGATACAAGTGAATAATCATTCAAATACATAGTGGGATCTATAGATGATCGAATAGAGGATTGATAATCACTTTTATTGAATATAGACAATTCCAACATAGGCAATGTTTGAGTACCATTCATATCTTTATTTAATAGTTTTTGATAAAGACTATTTCCAAAGAATTTAGTTCTTTGAAAGAATTTCCGATTCTTCTTTCTAGAATTTTTTTCTTTTCGACCTGATTTAGTTCTATTGAAATTCTTATTTGTAATAATAATGGATTGTTTTTGATTATCATTGGAGTCCATAATTAGAGAAAAATTAAACTTTTTATAATCTAAAACAAAAACTAGAAATAAAAATGAAAGAGAAAATTTAAAATCATTTCTATGAATGATGAATGAAATAGTTATGCATAATAGTAGTAATTTTATTTTTCATTATTCAATAAAAGTTTTCGTCGACAATTGTCAATATATTCATTTGATTATCAATCATTACTAGACTGTTGTATTTGGTTCATTGACTTTTTGTTCTAAATAAATTTCAAAAATCAAATGAAAATATACTTTAGAAATATTTAATCAAAAAGTATAAATAGAAAAATCTACTTTTTTGTAATGGTTGATTTTTTAATAATGATGAACATGGTCGCTTTGTTGTTAATTCATATTCAATATTTGGATTATTTCGATGACCAACTATTAATCGAATATCTTGATAAATCGTATTCTTGAAGAAACTATCATGAATTTCATGTATTTCTCGTTGTATATGTCGAAACCGACCTTCATATAGAGAATGAATAAAAATTTTCTTTTGAAATTTATTATCTTTATTATTATTCGTTGTTTCTTCATCATCATTTTGACCATATTGATCTCGAATAATAATAATATTATCAACAGTAGCTGCACTTTTATCAACTAGAATTTGTTTAACTGATGGATATTCTAATAATTTTTTACGTAAAATAACAAATTGTTCTTGATTTTCAATAAGTGGTAAAATTAATGAAATCGTCGGTAAATATTTGAGAAAAAATTGCTGAAATTGTTCATTAATATAGATTGATGGATAACTAAAGTTATTTATGAATAAAAGAAGAAGATTATAGAATTATATCGAAATAAAATATGATAACTTACTTATTATATAATAAAGTTAAACGTATTGTACGTCGTTCAATATTAAATGCTTCAAATGTTGACGAATATCTTATCGCTCTCATGAGTGCTGTTTGAATAACATTACGAAAAACATGTCGAGGATGATCAGAAAGATATGATAAAATAGTTGTTACAGAGAAGATCGATTTCTCTCTCTCTAGTTTTAGTCAATGAACTAATAGAAAATTGAATTCATTCTAAATTGATGAAGTTCAATCGACCATTCTGTTCTTTCATTGTTCTATTCCCATCCTATACCTCCATTAACGCATATAAAACGATTGTCGCTAGTATTCGAACAATAGGATTGATTCTTTTTTCTTCTTCTCATTGTTCAATTGAAATCTTAGCTCGAAAACACCTTCGTTATATTTCATACGTTTGACAATTGAACAAACTGAATTACAATGATAAATTTTATTTACAATATGAGTTAACCTTCATTTTATTGTTCTCAATTTACTGAACATTAAATGTCAACACTATAATAGACTCCGGTATTATTTTCAAAGAATTCTAAACTAATATCATTACCATTTCATAAGTATATTTCAGATCATTTTCAAAAGTGAATTGTTATAACGAATTCAAAATTGTAATTTTCTTGCTACTTTAATATTCCATTATTTCAATTTGAACATTTTTACATGAGTGATATTATTCTTTTATATTTTCTGTGAATCTTATTTCTTCTTAATAATTCTGATGTTGATTAAAATATAGCTTTTCTATTTTCTTAACATATTTTTCTTTTTATCAAATTATTTTCAAAGTTTCCATTAAATATTTTATTTGTTGTTCCTTATTTACACTGTGTAAAAAAGAATTTCTATAAACGTAAATGTATATAAAGAAAATAGAAAAATATTCAAACAATATCTCTATTAATTAGTAATTGGATTATTTTCATATTCAGAATAGAATACTGTATACTATATATAAGAATTTTAAATGCCCATAACATTAAATTTTAATTCTTTCACTAATATATTTGATTGTTTCTCATTTAATATCATCACCCAAGTAAAACAGAAAAAAATAAAGAAAGACAATAATTAGTTGTTAAAGTGTTCGAATAAAACATAAATTCTTAATTACATAAGAATCATCTGACTTATGTGTTACAAAAATTATTCTTATCTAATTTGATATTTTTCATTTAATAAAACTACAATTTTTTGTTTCGTTAAAAACCTATCATATCAAAAGCATGAAATAACAAATATCCATTGTTCTAATATAGAAATAAAATATTTAATCTTAAAAGATAATACATGTTGAAACATTTGAATAGTATCACAAGATAAATATTTTTCTTAAAATTATAACTGGTAAACTGAATGAAATGATCAGATCGACTCGTTATTTATTAATGGATAAAGAATTAAATACACTACTTGTTTAGTTATTGAATACGTGTAGATTTTTGTAAACAACAAATTGACATAGAAAAAGTAATAAAATCAAATAAACTTATTAGATCAAGCAGTATATACGCTAATACATTATTATAATGATGAAGAAAAAAAAGAGTATATACATATATAGAAACGACAATGTCTCTGTTGAAAAAAAAAGATCACCCTTCTCAGAACGATGAAATGAAGCGAAAATTTTTCGAAACAACAACGCGTAACATAGGAAAACAATTTGTATGTATGATAATAACAATTTCTTGATTACCTTAAAAACGTGACCTGCAGTAAACAGTGAAAAAGTTCGAAATTTTCGATTTTTTTGGAATTTCGCGGAATGATACATCATTCGACGCTATATTCTATGCTGATTACGAATCTGTTATTGGTTTTGAAGAATAAACGTATTTTGATGTTGAAATCGTCGATTTTCTAGCCGAAAATACTGAAAAAATTGACCTGAAGAAAATTTGGTCAACTCGTCTTGAATTATACATCAGAAGAATCCATTTTTCATGCTGATTACGAATATGTCATTGGTTTTCAAAATAGATGAAATTTGAGAAAAAATTCGCCGCCATCAGGGTCCCAATTTCTAGATAACTCAGAAATGATATGCGTTAAAACAATAAGATAATTTATAAAAAATATGGTTGGTTCGTTGGCATTTCATGATTTTACTTTGAAATACTCAATATTATTGTCATCTTGTAGTTTTATAAATACTCCAACGAGGCAATGATACCCAATAAACAATCAATATTTTTCATATGACTTTTTCTAAGATATCGTTTTAATACGATTGTCATAGAATACTCTATCGTCGTCTTATCGATGACGAAAAATGAGTTTCCATAGTTTCCTTACTAAAAAATATTCTTTTTGAGAGTTAATGCCTCTATTTTTTCAAAAATTGACTGCGATTGATAAGAATGTCGATCCTCTGATCATGCCATTTGAATTGTTCAGCAGTTCATAAGATTCTCCATCAATATTCAATGAATTTGGCAACTGAAATCTAGACAGTTATAGCTCTTAGGCACTTTTTAGCAATCCTACTAGCATCTGACAAGTATGGCTCGTGCACCATGCTACCAATTCATATTCCTCTATGAAACATTACTCATAATATATTCACTGATAGTCGAATCATATGACATATTGAAAACGAGTCTAGTTTTTACTCTTGCAGAATGTAGGCAAATGCTTGAGGGTGTGGGTGTGGGATGTGTTAAGCTACAATGATATCGATATTTCATCTCAGCAACGAGATTTTTCAAATGGCACTCATAACGGAAAAATTCAAAAGAAAATTTTCAAAATAAAGTTAACCCTAAATTGTTATCCAAAAGTAATAATAGAAATAATATATTAAATCATCTGAATAGTATCACAAAATAAATAATTCGTTCCAGACTTCGTAAATCTGTATTTCTCTGAGCATTATTCCTACTTTCTCTCTCTTTTTCCACAGTTTTTCAATATCTTTCATTTCCAAGTTTTATTTCATGTTTAGTCTTGACTGAGTTGATATGATCCATTGTTTGCGATCAAATTGTATATCATAGTAAATAAAAATATAGCTAAAAATAGCTACATTTGATATGTGTCGGAATAGTTATTTCGCATGGTGACAATCTATCTATTTTCGACCTAGATCTTTCCTAACACAGATCATTATTTTTCTTGTTTTTTTATTATACAACCAAGAAGAATCAATTCTATCATAGCTTTTAGATAATGTGAAGAAAATGAAGTTGCTCTTTATGAATAATCTCTTATGTTTTTCTTTTGATTCATAGTTCTACACAACAACTAACGAATGACAATGATTCAGTATGAGAAGGCCTCTTATTTTTAATGAATTCGAATTGTTTATTTGTGTACATAGGTGAAGTGCTAAAGTGCACATTGTTTACGACGATATTTTTCGCGGAATTATAAATCATATTTGAAGTATGGTGTATGAAAAGAACGGAAAAACGGAAAGTTTTAATTTATCCTAGGAGAAGATGAAATTTTCAATTTTTACTAGATTCTGTTAAGGACAACTTGAAATTTTCAAGTTTACCTAGAGTAAATAAAAATTTTCAATTTTTCCTATAGAAGAATTTGAAATTTTTGTTAAGAGTGTCTAGTTGCCTTGTTTATTGTATTTTTGAAAAGCCAATGTACATAAAATAAAACTAGATAGATAAAAATTGTCTTTGATGTAATTTTTAGTTATTTTGACTCAGAAATAAAAATTCTTGATCGAAGTAGTTCCACTACACATATGTATTCTTCAATAATGTGGTGTCAGATAATATCGTTCACTTTCAAGATACGTTTTTACAGGCTTCATTAAATGTCAGCTGTGGTAGATGAGTTGGATCGACAGTAAGCAGATCAACAAAATTACAATTACATAAATTCAATAGATCGAATGCTTGAAATCTTGAAGAAATTATACATGCTTTTGTACATAATTGATATGCATTTGTATCTTCTGCTACCAGCTCAATGGATAATATTTTACATGCTAACACTTTAAGTTCAATGTTGACTGTTTCGATTTTGCCAATGATTACACCAACTAAATCACCAACCTTATATTCATGTTTATATGATGTATTAGTGAATAACTTTTGTCCTTTAGTCATATTAGCCATATAGACGATTTCATTAGTTTTCGGTTGTACTTGTTGATGATTGTTGATTAAATTAGTGTTATTATTATTATCATTAGATTGTTTGTCTAAACAAAAAACCGAATTGATATAGAGTATATTATCTTTCAATAGGATATATTGGTATGTCTGATCATTTTACCTTCATCGAATACGTTAATCTCTTCGTTTGAATTTGATGTGAGTCGTCGTCTTTTTTTCGTACTAGTCGATATATTAGAAGAAGCATGATATTTTAGTCTTGATGGTGGTATTGATAAGGATGACTTTGATATTTCTTGAAGTGCAAGATATGATGGACTTGATGATAAACTATCATCGGAAGAACTAATATTTTGAACAAAATTCAACAGATGTGTGGATTTTTTCAACTCATCAATAAAATTGTATGGACAATTCTCTTCATCCAAGCAAACATGATTTGATAAAATCTGACACGTTTCTACATTGTAGTTTGTGTTTTGATGGAATACAATTTCAGTTGGAGTTTTATTGTTGGTCAGATTAGCTGCTCCGTTTTCCATTGAATGAATTGCTGAAAGCAAACCTAAACGAAAATGTTTTTTGGATTGGATAGTAATTAATATGCTAATTTTCATAGCTACAATTTGACCAATCTTTTCGATTATTCGATAGCATCCATTTATAGAGAACTAATTTAAATGATCCAATACTACCATCTTGTGTCAAATTTTGGGTACATGAATGCAAAACGCGACCATTGATAATTTTGAGATTGGTCCATGTCTTTTCAACATTCTATTCAGTTTTTAAAAAACCGTTGAAATAATCGATTATGAAAGAAGAATAAGAGATTTTTCTAAATAAGCGTAGTACCTCTATTACTTGAGCAGCGAATTCTCTTCTATGAACACTTTGAAAAGCTTGTGATATTGCAAAAAAATAGTACTGCTGTAGAAGTTTTTCGGTAATTGGTTCCATTCCGTTAGATTTTAATGGATAAGCCCAAGAACATTT